CTAAAATTCCTCGAAGAGGTAACGTAAAATGATGCACATGCACAGTTCAAATCCCATCCCCTACGATTAAAAACTTTAATAACTATTAATGACTATTTTTGTCACTCTCTTTTCTCACTCTACTGCTTGTCGAAATAAACCGATTTTGTTAAATTAAGAAAGAAATTCCTGTGCAACCCGAGCTTTTCCCTCCCTAAAATTTCGAAGAGATTATTAACGAGAAAAGGTGTCGAAGGGTGTGGAAAGGAACATCGATACCTCGACGAGAGTAGAATCTCCGCAATTTTCAGCTAGAATTTAATAACGGCCTCGCGCGTTATTAAAATCCACGGGGTTTAACAGAGATGTGAGGGTGACGGTTAATCCCTGGGTAATCTCCGTTGTATCAATTTATATTAACCGTGAAACGGTTCAGGAGAGGGACTCTGTGCTATCTGTGTCGTCGCCTTCGCCGCTTTGCACTCGGACCTGGAAATAAATAAACCGTGAAGAATAAGTGTTGGAAAGAAGTTTTTAATCCCGCGGTTCGTTCGTCGAACGCAGCTGGTTTCTTGTGAATTATTCCGCCTAGACTAGATTGCCGCCGCGTTGCAAAACTTTCGAAAGAGGATTCGTTGATTCGTTGCTTTTAACGCGGCGACAACAAGAGGGGGAGCGCAGCTAAACAGAAAGAAAGTTTTTAAATTGCGAATTCTTTTGTTCGACGTTCTTTACTTAAGAGCACCAGAGCTTTTTTCCTTTTTTTTTCCCCCCCCGCCGGAATAAAAAGCCGAGAGGAGCTGGCTCTCGAGGCCAGTCTCCTCGCCAGATTAAAAATTAACAGTGACGGTTTGTTTGAAGAATCATCTTTAAACAACATTTATGAAACGCGCCACCAAAGATTCTCATTTTCCAAAATATTCCCAATCCGACTGGACCGTTGCAAAAATAATTTTCACTTCGTCCATCCTCGCTTCGTGTTCTGCTTTTCCTTGCTCTCTCTTTATTTATTCGTTCGAAAAATTTCTCGAAAAAAAGGGGACGAAATGAAATTCGTCGCGAGGAGCGACAACAACGACAGACAGACGTTCCCTTTCTTCTTTTTTTCCCCGATCCGGAGGGTTGATTGATGACACTTGCACGCGCACGCGCCGCCAGAGGTCGCAATCAAATGTAATCAAATCGGTAATCGAATCAGTAATCAGCGTTTCCGCCCGAGAATTTTATTATATACGCGCGGCATGATTTCCCTCCTCCCCCCTCCCCCCCCCTCTCAAAGCCGCGCGAATATTTTTGTTTGCATTTCTCGTTCCTCTCGTTTTTCGAAAGAGGAACAACTCGCGTGCTTTGAAACGACAATGCAACGTCACGGATCGAAAATATCGTGAAGAGAGCGATGGAGAGACTCGAAAAAACATTATAAAATAAGATTGTTAATTTAAGTATTGATTTAACATTATTGCGTGAATATATCTGCTTCTATCTTTTTTTTCTTTTACAAGGATCAGATCCTTTGTTTGCATATTGATGTACGATCAATTGTTGTATTTTCCACGGAAGGTCGTTGCTCCGTTTCATTATCATAAATCATTTATCTCGGTCGTTACTTCGTCTACCGTTCAAGTCTGTTTCATTATTCGATAATCGTTACCGTCAATCAATCTCCCATCTTTCACGATCTTATTAAATTATGGTGATTAGCGGTTGGAACGGCGGACTACTCACCGTATTATGCCGACTAAGGAAGGATAATAATTGCTGTGAACGATCCGCGCAAGTCGAAGAGAATTTTCGAGGATGCGTAATATTACACAATTAAAAAAAAAAAGAAAAGAAAAAGGAAAAGAAAGAAGAAATTTTATGATATAGACACGTGAAAAGAAATTCTGTGTCGAGAGAAAAATTTGTAATTGGTCCGAATCGATTATCAATTATTGTATATGTACGAGGGATGCATGAAATGAGATCACGTATTCGAGTCGAATCAATCAGAAAGTGCAGAGCATAGGATTCGAGGATCCTCGTGTAGTCGATTCTTGGCTACTCCATTATCGCGTTTAATATGTTGTTTGTGCAACAACAAAAATATTGAGAATCTGATCTAATCGGAATGCAAATTCAATCAAGACTTTCACTATGAAAACTTTCGTTCAACAATATTTGTTCGAGATTAATTCATCTTAAAACGTTTCCGAAACGCTTTCTACGTTTTACATGTAATACTTTTCTACCAATGTACAATAGATCAAAAATTCGAATTTTCAGCGACTAAAAATTTCGTTTAATCGATCCTTCAATTGATGAAAGTAACAATGGCTCTTTATGCATCGATAGTTCTATATAAATGCAATTTTTCTACGAAATTGTGTAACGAATGGATTTATTTTTCCATCGATCTAATGGATCCATAAAAATATTTTTTTTCTTATAAACATTTGCAAAATCGAAATTACTTCTTCGTTAAAATCCGACGGATTTTAAATCTATAAAAATATACATATTATCAAATTATTGCTCGATACAAATTTCGCTTAATTATTTGACCTCGTTATTAATTATATCGATATACCTTTAATAATCGACGAGCCTCGAGTTCCAAACGACTGCAATTTTCAATGAACGATTTCACACAATGAAGGAATCATGAAAGCAATAGTCTCAATAGTCAACGATTCAATAAATGAAGAAAATTTTCCATATTATATCTATTCCATTACAAGAAATTGATTGGACATTGAAAAATCTAAAATCATTCTTTCAATCCGACGATTAAAAAAATAAGAAAAATACACATACCGTCAAATTGCTCGATAGAAATTCGCTCCGTTAATTATTCGACCTCATTACCGAAATAATTGTATCGATAGCGTCTAATCATCGACGAGGCTCGAATTTCCGGCGACCGAAACTTTCGTTTAATTGGCCTTAAAGCGAGGAAGGAGAGATCGCGATAACATAACCTCACTCCGACTGGCGCGTGCGCTATTGAAAGCGTTTTATCGGTGGCATGTATCACAAGTAATCCCAATGCACAGTGTTGCGCTCGGCCGATGAACGCAATTAGCAAGAACGCAGGGCAAAGCAAGTATGCAGCAGCTGGCTTTGCCACGAGTGGATACGTACAATACGCCGAACGCTGCTTGTTCCTGCTTGTAACTGTTAATCGAGCCATAATCCCCCGTCCAGGATTCGCTAATCGACGTTAATTAAAACGCTGCTTGTCAAACATGCCTGCCTCCATTCGATAATCCATGCACGATCCCAAGCCTCGTCGATTCGCCTATCGGAATCTGCCAACTTATCCTGCCTTCCGTCCTCCCCAAAATTCCCTAGAAGCCCTTTAACCGCAAACGAGAAATAACTAACTGTACTAATTTAATCGGCTTTGAGAACGTTCGAGTAAATCGATTTGCGTGAAAATTTTGTCGAATCGCCATGTTCTTCTTGTTCATAGAATTCTATAGTTTTTATAAGTTTTTTTATAAAACGTGAATTTCAAACTTTTCACACGGATAAGACGTTCTTGCGTCTTGTTTTTCGAGCTATTCCGGAATGCTCGATATAAGATTGGCAATTATTCCGGTAATTTGCATTTATCGAATTTTCGGTTGTATCTTATTAGAAGGAATATACATGCGAATACATGTGAATCTTCGATCATTTTAATCACCTTCTCCTCGTAATTTTTAAATCGTGTTTTCTTTTCTTTTCAACCAAATATATCCAATTTTAAAATTATTTAAATCTCGTGTACGTAATATTTCATACTTTATTCACAAGTCTGTGAGAGTAAAGTGTACAATAATGGATTGTAAAATGAATTTATCACGGGACTGGTTCAATAAGAATTATACTTCTTACCAGATACCTTACCAGTATTGCCGACGATATTGAAAAAATCGATTGAACCTTTTAATTACCGGAATTAATCAACTTTCTGATTTTAATATCAAAAATGAATATTACTCGGTTTGCGAGCTATTGATTACCGCCTTCGGCCTTTTCATAAAAATTATGTAAAATTTCCCGAACGAGAAAATTTGCAATTCGAATTTTTCCTCTCTTTTAGAAATGATTCTTCC